TGAAATGCTAATAGTTTAGGTATATTAGGTTAAATATAGCTTATTGTTATTATTTTAAGCATATTATTTAAAATTAGTGTCACCTGTTTCTTTTTCACTTTTTAATGTGACTACTGGAAATTTTAAAATTACTTTTGCCGCCTGAATTATATTTCTCTCAGACAGTACTATACTGATCTCAGTAGAAGAGAGAATTGATCAACTTTATTATTCCCTGTGTCCCCCAAGTTAGTTGACTTTGTTAATTACTGCTATGTCCCAGACTGGCGAACATGGCATGGGCCACTCTCCTGCACTCGTATGGGCCATTCCTTCTCTGCTTAGGGAGTCTGAGTCTTGTAGGGATCCTTGCCAGAGGCTCATCCCTTCAGCTTTTGGCTCGCACTCAGACATCCCATTTTCTTGACTGGCTGGATGCCAGCCTGTCAGTCTGTTGCTGTGTTGCTCTGCCTCTCAGCCACTGGCAGATCCTTGTAAGACAGTCCCTGGGGAACTTTTGGCCCTAAAAATCTGGGCTGAAGTCCCTGGAGTCTTTAGAAATGGTGCCAGAAGCCCCAGGTGAGCAGTGTGGAAAAATGGAAATATCTTCTATCACTCATCCAAATTCTGTACACGGACATCTGACTCACTCTACTTCCCATCTCAACACCCACTTGGCTTGACTTAAAATTCACATCATTCATGCTTGTTGTCTTACAAATATTGAGTAAACTTTTCAGATGCCCAACTTTTCAGATCCTGGGTTAGGAGTGCCTTTGGATGATGAGTAAAGCAGAAAATGTAAAAATAATGGGTTATTTCACTGGTCAGAATGGCTACTTCTGTCAAATCTTTTTTTTTTTAAACCAAATGTAATTCTCATCATATGTACTTAATTTGTTCTATTACACATTTATTTATTCATTCATTAAGGTAGCATTTACCACGCAGTAGGCACTTCAGGGTACCCAAAGGATATGGGTTCCCTCTCCTTAAAGTACTCTTGCAAGCCACCTGTGCAAATGGACACAATGTTTGGTTAAATGTGAATTTCTATTGGGGGATACCAACAGAGTACTCTTTGGAGCTTAGAGGGGAAAGAATCTCTGCTCCAGGATGACCAGGGGAAACCATTAAAAAGTGAGGTGTAGAGGCGTCTGGGTGGCTCAGTTGTTAAGCGTCTGCCTTCAGCTCAGGTCATGATCCCAGGGTCCTGGGATCGAGCCCTGCATCGGGCTCCCTCCTCCGTGGGAAACATGCTTCTCCCTCTCTCACTCCCCCTATTTGTGTTCCCTCTCTCGCTGCCTCCCTCTCTCTCTGTCAAATAAATAAATAAATACATAAAATCTTTTTAAAAAAAAACAAAAGGGAGGTGTAAAATCTGGGCTGAACTTTGAAAGATCAGAGAGTTCAAGAAAAAAGGAAGAGAATGTTTGGCTAATGGAAAGCGGTCAATAGTTGGGCTAGAATATGCTGTTCATGTATGGGGGCAACAGGAGCTGAGTTCAGGAAGGTAGGTAGGGATCAAATTAAATTTGGTTCTTCAGTGCTAGACTGAAGAGTATCTATCTCTCCATCTTCCCACTTTCTCCATAAATGATATTAAGGAAAGCATAAAGTAAATAAATTTTTAGAAACATATACAATGAAATAATAAAACATAATAAAAACTATCACACTAGGAGAACTATAAATTAAAATAGGAAGACAAGAACAGATGACATAGCAGAGTAAAAGCTCTGTGTATGAGCTTCCTTGTGGTCAAAGCAAAAAGGAAGGCAAGCTTGATTTTATAATTATTACTGTCTGTGAGGAAGACACTATCAGCTCTAAAAACTTTTCTTAGCATCAAATTTAAGATACATTTTTGACACGGGCTGAGCAGTGCATAGAAAATTCTTCACCTCCACGGATTTATTTTAATGCCCCTTATAAAAGCAGAGGGAAAACACTGGGGCTTTTCAGAGTGCAGTGTGCATACAATCACCTGAGGAACTAATCAAAATTCAGATCCTGAATCAGTAGGTCTGGGGTGGGCTTGCTGTCCTGCATCGCTAATAAGCTTCCACTGACAGCTACAGAGAGCACTTTGAGTAGGTCAGCTACTAGAGAAGTGTCTTAAAGCAGGGCATCAGAAAAAAAGATGCATATGATATTCATTTTATTCTAACTAAAGGTGCCGTCATTTAGCGATTTTTGATGTAGAGCCAGGGGTTTTTCTTTACAATGTGATCTGAATGAGGAAGGATTCTGGACTTCTACATTTTTGGAAATTTCCCAATTTTTTACAGTTGTCTAATATAAACCTAGCATGACAACAAGTTTTAGCACCTAATTTACTGAGCGTACCCAAAGCAATCAACTAAATTTTCACAGAAACAACTGATCTCTTTTCACCCCCATTTTGATCGCTTTATATAATATTTAATCCAATTGTAAATTATAATAACAAAAGTAACTGGTATAAATAGACTTGAGAGAAAACACAACTGAGCCCCGGCAAGCAAATAACTGGGGAGTCGGAAATGCCCAGATTTGCTAGCTGCTAGCATTCAGCTGGTCTTGGGCTTTCCTCGGTGCATTTTCAGAGGGAACAGGGAACATCTGTTAATCAGCAAGCTGGATAAGTGGAGGTCAGCTAGTGTGACTCCAAGAGAGCAGAGGCCAAGAATTCAGCTCTCAGATAATTAGGCCGGATAGAATAGATGAAGGCCTGGATGGGCAGCGTGTCCTCCAACCATATTCTTTAAATGTTTTATCTTGACTTGATGAGAGATGGACAGCAGCTAATTCAACACTGAGCAAGGCCTTGGAAGAGGCACAATCCAGGGAATCTTCTTTATTCAGGGTAGGGCTCAGTGAATGGTAGATACTGACTGAATGATTCTGGAAGGTCCAGGTTATCCAGAACAAGCCAATTTGTGGTGGTGTCAAGTCCTTGGAACTTCAGTCTCCACCTAAGAGCGGGTTTCCCTGGGGAGCCAGCTAAAGCTGTCGTGCCTAACCAGGGATGCACTGGGGCAGAATAGGACTAAATGTTTTCAGCACATAAGAAACAAAAGATCCATGCCTACGTGTATAAAGATCTCCTACATATAAATAAGAAGACATCAAATTCGATTGCTAAAGGAAAAAGGATTTGAACAGGTAATTTACTCAAGAAGTTCTTGGGAATGCGGATTAAAATAAACTCGGATTAACAAAAATTAAAAATCGTATAATGTGCAATGTTAGTTATGTGGATCAATGTGCATGCATACACTCCTGTGGTTATGTAATTTGATAAAGTCTTTTTGAAAGGTAATCTCACAGCATTCATTCAAAAAATATGTCTTGAGTGCTTCCTAGGTGCAGTGCTACTCTATGGGTTGGGGATGTAGCTGTAAAAACACAAAGTCCTGTTCTCGTAGTGGAGGGAGCTAGAAAATAAATCAATATACATCTTGGCTTAATAAAAGCTGAGAAGAAAACAAAGCAAAGTAAGGGACAAGAATGACAGAGGTGAGTGGGCTGCTATTTTATATAGGATAGACAGTAAGGTGACGTTTGACTCTTTGCATCTCTTAGAAAAACGACATATCTATACACAGAGGACTTGAAAGAGCTTCAAGACCTATTGTTTAGTGAAAATAGCAAGTTGCAGAACTGTATCTTGGGTATAATCCTTTTATGTTAAAAAGGTGTGTGTGTGTGCGCACATTCATGCGTGTATTTAAATAAATAAATACAAATAGTACACAGATACAATATGATAAATACCTAGAAGCGTGCACACAACCTCCCCAAACCTTTAGTCCTGGCTGTCTCTGGGGTTAAGTCTATCTGCATAGGCTGTGGTAGGAAAGAGGGAAATCCTATAGTATACCACATGAGTCTTTTTTTTTTAAGTAAAAAAAGAATAAAATACTGGAAAGACAATAACATTTGGGAAAAAGTACAAATTTAGTAGAAGATGACAATGATATTACAACATTTTTTTAACCAAGCATTTGGGGCTATGACCTTAAAACTATCAGCAAGCTTAGGAAAGGAGAGAGAGAAGTCAGACAGATGGTGGCTTGATGTCACAGAGGGAAGTTCAGGTGGAACCACAGTCCACACACAGGCACCCCCCACTCATCTGTGGTGAGGCCTTCAGCCACTTGTCCTCTCTAGCAGTCAGTTTCCTTGTCTGTAAAATGGGATAGCTACCTAGAGTAGTCACGCTAAATGAGTTGATTCACATGCAGTGTTGAGAACACTGTTTGGTACATAGTGAAGGTGCTTCATCAAGGTTAGTTATTAAATGGGTCCTCAGTTCCCCCAGGTTAGGGATGGCTTCACTGGAGGCAGGCAGCCCACCAGCCTCCTGTCAGCAGGAGGAAGGCACGACCCCCTGACTTGCTCTTTAGCTTCTGGGCACTTCTCAAGTATCTGTGAAGTTTGAAAAATAGAGTTCAGTGATTAATCAGAGTACAAAGGACTGACTGATGTGTGGCTTAGAGGTCAGGGAACAAGTGTGGAACCGGAGAGAGTCCCACACAATGGAGCTCAGATGTGGCTCCACCATTTAAGAGCCATCACCTTTGTTGGTTGAAAAGCAAACAGGTCTCCAGACTCCTGCTGGGACGCTATTGGCACTTATGGGTAGAGAGAAAACAACAGACAGGCCCTCTTTGCTTTGCTAACCTCTGCCTTCCTAAGCTGCACTACTGGCCCTCAGAAAATCAAGGAGGTTAGTTGTTTTTCTAGTTTTCTGGGAAATGGAAGTTTGCACACCTCAAAGTGAGCTATTCACTTTAAGATAAATTACGGGACACTTTTAAGTTTCCAGAAAGCAATTTGCAAATCCTGCCTCTTGTATTCTTTTTGTTGCAAATGGCAGGAGTGGGTGACACGTTTTAATTTTGCTGAGGACAGATGTGAAGGGGACCCTGCCTGGCCTCCTGTTAAGGGAGAGGAAACCCAGCATTTCCCAATATCCCACTGGACACCCCTTTTCTTACTGCTTCTCTAATACAGGTTCTCCCTTTTCCTTCCAGAATGTTGCCAGGTAAGCTGAGGTGGAGAAGGACCCTGCCAGGGTCACTGCAAGAAGAGCTTTGGGACAAAGCCAGGTACATTCACGGGACACTCAGTCACCCCAAGCCCTGACCTCGCAGGTCCCCTTGCGGAGCAGTAAGTGGTCACGCACCATTTGTCAAGCCAACCTCAGCAGCTTCTCTCCCCCTTAACCTTTCTCTTCCGTCTTCTTTCCATTCACATCCCTCTCTGCATTCAGTCAGCTCTTGTCTCCATTCTCCACCTGCCATTCAGTGTATTTCCCATCTTGTTCCGTGGAGCACACTCACCAACATTGTGTCCACAATTTTATGTTTATTTTAATATCCTTATGTGTGCTCAAAGTAGACATATCTACAAATGTTGTCTCAGATGAAAGAAGTTGTCATTTACCAAGTGAGAGCAGGCTTAGTCAGGTCACCACTTCCCCATAAAATTTTATTGACCGCTCTTTTTAAATGCTCCATAGCATCTTGGAGAAACAACATCTTTGGGGAATGAGCCATAATTTATTGGCAGAAATTAGCTTTGGTAAATACTTAAGTAGTCTCATGATGAGGGACCAAGCAAGATTTGTCTCTGTCCCTGAGTGTTTAAGAATTTAAGCATAAAAGCAGTAGAAACGTTCCTGGTGGATGGTGGCCCCAGAGCTTAAGTGTTTCTGACGATTCAGGGGAGTTTCTTTGGAGGGGAGTTTCTTTGGAGGTTTCTTGGCTAATGAGTGTTGTGACAGATGCTCATATATTCTGTTTTTGCCACTTAAATTTGCACATGGGACATGGTGGTCAGGTTATTAAGGGAGCAAAAGAGAGGCAGCTTTATGAAACTCATTTATTCTCCTTATCAGGACTGCTTCATTGTTTGTCAACTCAAAATATTAGTGAGGATTTAGGGAAATCATCTTGCTCTCTAATTAGATGAAATTGGAGGCTGATTGCTGCAGCTATAAATGACTTTGAGGTGTTACTAATTCAACTAAGTCTCAGATGCCCGCTTTTACAGCTAGTTGATATTATTCTAGTGGAGAAGGTTGAGGAGATTGGGGATGATTAAGAAAATTGGTTTTGCTCACAACCTAATGATAATACTTGAGAGTCATGTAAAAACAATAGCAATTTCTAAAGTCAAGATGGATCATCCAGCAAGGAACTCTTGCTACCCTGCTCCCTCCCAAGATTTGGATCATTAGGTGCTCAGCTATATGAGGAAGAAATAAATTACTGATTAGTGCTGTTAAGGCTAATTTTCTTGTCTAGCATTTAGGTGGACTTACCGGTCCCTGCCTCATCCTGGTGCCCTGCAGGATGCAAATACAGCAACATTAACAGTGTGGTCCCCTCACAGGGCTCCCAGATTGTCTCTCTCCAGGGTCCAGTGGTGGGGAAAAAGGCAATAATCTCCACATGGTGTCTCCACCTTTCTGGCATCAATAAAGCAAACTTCAATTCATCATCTCCATCCACACTGTGCCTAAATTGGTTTTCTAAATTTTCCAATGAAATTTGCCATCCAAGGAAGTATTGTGAAGGAAATGAGGATATGTATCCTCCAATCTGTTCCTTTGCTTTATATAATTTCCTCAGTATTTGTTTCCCTATAGGGATGTTGGCTTCCTTGGAGAGGAGGATCATTCTTTAATATCAGGCAATTGAAAGGAACTAGAAAACACACTGGTGATTTGTACCTATATAGAAGGTAAAAAAGATCAGCAAGTGCAAGGATGCTGCACAGATCAGACTCCGCACTCCCTCTGATAGATCAGGCCTGCTCACTTAAGGCAATTGACAGAAGAGTGTGGGCCAGCATGTTGAGGTCCATTTAATCAGAGCCCAGTCTAAGTGGGTCAACTCTAGGGCAGTCACAGATCCAAAGGGCTCTGCCAAGGCCCTAAAAGCCAAAGGGGTCCCTGACTTTCTAAAAGTGGAACAGACAGGGTTGGCCAATAACCAGGGACCAGTCCTCAAAATTAATTTCAAAGCCTCCAGGTTTATACTTGGCAACTCCAACTTTGATCAACGCCATTATGATACTGTATATGTGCCTTTGTGATAAAAAAAAAAAAGCTTCTCAACAGAGGGGTGATTTAAATAAAGCTTATTTTAAAAATGTTGGCCATAAGTGGCACTTAGATGTGAACTGCCTGGAGAGAGACATCAAATCCTAGAGGAAACAAAAGCAGGGCTTAAGAAGACATGTACTGCAGATTGGATCTTGTTCGAACGACCTAAATGTCAAAGGTAAAATGATTATGTACCTGCTCAAAAACGAGGAAGATCCATTTCCAGAATATATTAAGTTTAAAAAATGCACAAAGTGCTAAAATTGTATATAATATGTTACCTTTTGTGTATAACCAGGGCAGAAAATGAGGATATATATTCAATTTGCTTGTATTTGCACAAAGAAACCCTGGAAGGATAAACAAGGAACTAATAAAAGTGGAGGGATGGGGTGGATGGAGGCAGGAAGAGACCACAAATTCTCAGGGTGTGCCTTTATATTGCTTTGATTTCTAAGCCCAGTAAGTGTATTAATCAAGAAGAAAAAAAGCTAAAAGCCAAAAACGCGATGAGATATTTTTTGGGAAATTTACACGCAAATGGAATATTTGCTGGGAAAATGTAAAGCATGACAGCACTGTGATGTGGCAGAAAGGTCAGTGGCCTGAGAGACAGGGGACATGGGTTCAGGTCTCAGTTTCCGTTCTGCCACAGATTTCTTTGACATCATTTAACAGTGCATCCACAAACAAGCTTAATGTGTGATGCCAGTCATGTTTGTGATTAAATATGAAGAGACTGCCCGGAGCCTTCTGTTGAGCAAGATTTTAAGGCCTCATCCAGGTTTAGTAGAAAAAATTTCTTTAAATGATTGGTGATTTTTGCCATGTGTGTAGGATGGGAGCGTGGCAGCATGCAGGTCTTCTGTTTGTCCTTCCTGTGATTCTTTTTCCTCACCTGTAAGGTTAGAGGCTTAGACTAGAAGATCTTTAGTCTCCTTGTAGTTCTAAAATGTTCATAATAAATGGGGCATCTTCCAAAAAGCGAAATAAAAGAGGAAGATGGATGGGGAGGTGCCACAGAGGGCAGAGTTTGGTCACCTGTGGTTCTGTGGTTAGAGGTGGGAAAGATAACCTTAAGTGGGATGTAAGAAAAGCTAAGTTTCAGAAAAGTTCCATCCAACTGTGGGTGAAAAGACTTCTGGGACCCAGGCTAAAATGGCCTAGCATTTAGTACTTCCTAGTCATTCGGTGCAGTCATTTGCAAAGTCATTGCAAAGATGCAACACTTTCAGAGAATTTGCTGGAGGTGAGTCTTGGAATAGGACAGGCTTGAGAGCTTCTCTTCCCACTCCTTTCTGGAATATTATAACAACTGAACGAGAAAACTTGGAAGGCCCTGTGGTGCTCTGGGGAAGAACTGAACGACAGAAATGGAGAAGGACTCATCTCTCCTCAAAGATTATGGTGAAATGACAGATTTTTGTGTCTTCTTTAGGGCCAAGCCAGTAGAAGCTTCTGGATCTACTTGAGAGGGAGCTGGCCTATCTACTTGTTATATGTTGTTCCTGTTGAACAGCCTGATCCTACTGTCTCCTGAAGTTTGAGAGACTTGAGTAGGGCTAGGAGCCAGAACAGGAAGCCAAGTATGCACCAGGAAGGGGCCTGGCTCCCCAGGATCAGCAGTAGGACAACACTTAGAGATTCCTTGAAGCCTGAGAGGGCTTTCTGGTGCTGTGGAAATCTTCAGAGTCCTGGACATGAGACATTTCAATGCTTTTGATGCCTTGAGTCTACAGAGAGGACACCTGGAAAACTAACACTGAGCCTCCTTGAGATGGCAGTTTTCTTCTCCTCTCTGCTATCTGGAGACCCTCCTCTGCTCTGGAGCTGCCAACAAAGCAGGCCAGACTCAGCCACACCAGCCCATGCTCCAGGCCTCTGCATTTCAATGGGTGTCTACTCCCAGAACCCCAGCCTAACAAAAGCTTCTAAGGCTGCACCATCCCATGCGGTAGCCGCTGGCCACCAGTGACCATTTAAATTTAAATTAAGATAAAATACAAATTCCAGTTTCTCAGTTGCACTAATCACATTTCAAATGCTCGATAGTCATTTGGGGCCAGGGGCTACTGAATTGGGTAGCACAGATATAGAGCATTTCCATCATCACAGAATGTTCTATTGGATGGTGCTTCTCTCCACTGTGTGTCTGGAAAGCCACTATGGACAGATGGATCCACAACAAAAATAATAAATAACAAGCCTAAAGTTAGATGAAAGGGGCAAAGAATGTATATTTCCTTTCATGTAAGATGGGAATGAGCTAAAATCATTAATTGAAAGACAGAAAAGTTCAGAATGAGTTGAAAAATATACAATAGGTTTTCCATAAGAAATACATGCACTACACAGTGGCCAAGAAAGGTTGCAAAGTTCTTGTAGATGCAGGATGATCATGTGGTATGGACTTCATGTAGCTGCTTATTATGTAATTTTACGAGGGATGTTATGAAGCTGTGGTTTTAGAGTAGAATACAGATTGGGCTTGGGGTTCATGCTAAAGGAAATGAACAGACTTGGGAACAAAAGGCATCACTATCTTTCTGTGATTCTCACTGGGAACATTATTGTGCCAGAGGTGAGGGAAGCAGGAGAGAGAAACAGAGAATCGGTCTCTCTAGAATATGTCTTGTGGAGGAGGCTGACTTCCAACCAGCTGGAAAGAACGCGGGGGACGGGGGCAGCTGGTAGGCTCCTTCTCTGGGAGAATTTACCCTGCCTGCCAGTCCCCTTACAGCTCACCAAGGGGCCTGTCCCAGCAGGGCCATTAGAAGGCAGGGCCCCCTTGGGAGACATCAGATCTTTCTACCCACTCTAGTGCCATCTCTCTGGGGGCTGGGAGAAGCAGTTGAGGCTCATCCACCCTGATTACTCTCCTAGGAGCCCTCCAGACCCAACATGTGATTTCCATTTGTGTTACCAGTCCATTCTCAGGCCATATGCCTTAGGATAGACCCAGTATATGAAACCTCCTCTTCCTCTGATGTTTCCCCAGCTTTTATATGTTCTTGGGAGATTACAATATAGACAACAGTAGGAATTGAAAATTTTGGAAGTATTCTTTAGCCATTACGTAATATAAATCTATCATAAGTGAACTAAGAAATTTAAGTAAACGTGATGTGCATACGAGTATTTTCTTAGGAGGGGCGCCTGGGTGGCTCAGTCAGTTAAGCAACTGCCTTCCACTCAGGTCATGATCCTGGGGTCCCCAGATTGAGCTCTGTGTCGACTCCCTGCTCAGTGGGGAGTCTGCTTCTCCCTCTCCCTCTGCTCCTACCCCTGCTCATGCTCTCTCTCTCTCTCTCACTCACTCACTCTCGCTCTCTCTCTCTCAAACAAATAGATAAAATCTTGAAAAAAAGAGAGTATTTTCTTAGGATGCAAATGCAGAGGAAAAACAAACACTTGATGTTGGAAGCAAAGTATGCTTGTTTTTGGTCAGCCTTTTCCTTGGACCTAAGTCTGTGATGGCCCCAGAACAGATATTCAATACATGGCATTAAATTAATGTCATTTAGGGAAATGAATTATATCCAGAAAGCTGTATCTTAATTAGAAAAATAATTCAAAGTTGTGTGAGCTAAAATTATAAAACTTGAGCTAAAAGCTGAAATGAAGTGTACCAATTAGAATCATATAAGCAAATAGGCTTCTTTTGTGTTTCTTTTTTTGTAGTGCTTGAAAGTGTGAGTAGAAGGCTGTGAGGTTCACAAACTGAAAACCTAAAATAACCTAGGGGTTTTGCATTAACTTTTACTTTTTCTCCTCCAGTCTAAGATACATTGGATTGCAGCCTGGAGTTCTAGTCAGAGGGATGACAGATCTTCATATTAAACACAGGCAGAGAGTAAGTGACAACTAAGTTCCCATTCTTTTAAAAAACTGAGCATTTACTTCCTGAGTTTGCCAATATTAGAGGGTGGGCAAGGGAATGTGTGCTCTGAGTGTTATCGTAGTCATGTATGAGTGTGACAGACTCTGCCTCTTTAATAGGTTGGATTTGTCATGCACGTGTACTCAGGAGAGTTTATTCTGGCTGAGATCATTCCCCACTCTTTTTGAAGGGTGTAATCAGAAGAGAAGTCCTTCCAGCACAAATCTATGACCATCTGCAGGCAGATACTGCAGTGGCCTTTGAATTGGAAGGTGGTAGAACAGTAACATCAGTGGACCAAAGGCGTTTTATGACACTTTGCCACGTTATTTCTTTTTTCAGAAAGACAGCAGTAATAGAATGTAAGACAGTCCTCACAAATTTCTGTTGTGTGTGGTGTTAGACAAACATTGGACCTTTGGGGTTTGTCTTGTTGGCATGGATGCATTGATACCTGGGGACCTGGTAAAACCAAACAGTATTTTTCACTTTCTTAACTATCCTTACTCAAAAATGCTTTAAGCGGGTCATCATCTGGCAGATTCAGGGAACATGGTCACGGAGAGTCCCAGGTGCTGATGGAGACTGGGGCTGTGGGAACTTAGTAATCAGGAAATTTTGAGCCCTTCCCAAACACCCTGTATCTCTTCTCACTGAACTTAGCTAAGTTCATCACATTCCTGTCTGTGGTCCCGGGCAGTCTTCCTGCTGGGAAGACGCTCCGGACTTCATTCTCTGCCTTTTGTTGGGTGTTCTTCCAGATTCCTAGAATTGGCTGTAAAATAACATATTACCATTAGGTGTCGCTGTCTAACATATAATGTACTTCGTAAAACTACAAGATTACAATTTATTTAAAAAAATCATCCAGTTGGTATTGTAGGACATGAACTCTGTAGATTTTTTTTTTTAAAGATTTTATTTAAGTAAATAAAAGAGAGAGAGAGAGAGAGGCAGAGGGAGAAGCAGGCTCCCTTGGAGCAGGGAGCCCAATGTGGGACTCGATCCCAGGACTCTGGGATCATGACCTGAGCCGAAGGCAGACGCTTAACCGTCTGAGCCACCCAGGCGCCCGAACTCCGTAGATTTTGAAAACAATTTTTTTTCTTGCAATAAGAACTAATTTCAGGTATAATAACTGGGAAATTTTCAGTCAGAATTTTTTAAGTAAATAAAGTTTGAAAGTTGATTTTATTTGCTGAAGAGATTGCAAGAGAAAATCTAGACCTTTTAGCTGGCATTTAAAGCTTTCCTTGACTTGGTTCAAGCCTACATTTCCAAAATTACATCTTCTGTCTGTAAGTACCTCCCCCCTCAGTCAAATTATGCCATTTGCCATTCTTTGGATAGTCTTATCTTTTTCCATTCTATTCCATTTACTAGTAGTGTCCTCTCATCTCCCATTATCATCTTTTCAAAACCTACTTGCTCTTACAGATAAGCTCAGATACTAAGTTCTCTATGAAACTTTTCTTAATCTTGGGTGGAAGCACGTATTTCTACTTCTGTATCACTTGGCCATTTTATCGTGCTTCTTGTACAGCATTTTGTAAACACTAGCTAAAATGATATTTATTTCTGTTTTATCATGAAAGCAAGGACTGTGATATAATTACCACAAAGCCTACAAGGGTGCTTAGGATAAAGGTTAGTAAATGGAAATTATGTTAGTTAAGTAAGTGAATTAATAATAAAAAAATAGATACAGGAAAATTTGATTCCAGTTCACTTTTGAAGCATTGCAGATTCACTGGGCACTGGAAAGTGGCCATGCAATGATAATTAAAGAGTAATGATAACTGGCAAGGTATCAATTTATGAAGAAATACATCCTACACAGTGCTGTAGGGAGCCAATCAGTACAATTGATTTATTGGCCATGATAATTGATGATATGAGAAAGTAAACAGCTCATCAATCCTTTAGCATCTGTATTTAGAACATCATGCTTTTTAGTCATGCTCTTGTGCATAAGAATACAGTTAGAAATACAATCTACTCTGTGTGTGTTCAATTAAGAAGATGTTTTTCCTCTGTCATACTCATGATGAAAATGAGGGACGGGTTGCTTAGAGGAGAGGATGGAAAGTCTATCAAGGTAAAAATTAAGGAGACAGAAGTTTGAGCTCATCCTTTAGCAACTCAGTCTATCAGGAAGAGGTGAAGACCAAACTGCCCATCAACAAGAGTTTTTCTTATTACTCTTGGCTTTTGTAATCGTTACTGGTAACCATGTTTGCTAGCCTATTTTGTTGCTTGTGTGGAAGAAGGCTTATTCCATCATAGCCAAAAAGTTGATAAACTGTCCCAGTAAGCAGAGATTCTATGAATCCTGACAGCCCCCAAATGTTCAACTGACTACCCATACTCACTGGGACTTGTCCTCTAACTTGTGGTACAGTATTGAGTGAACTGGCTTTATTTTAATTTAAAAAGTTACAAGAAACCACTTACAGAGAGTGGAATGGTTATACATTTTTTAAATTTTATTTATTTTATTTAGAGAGAGAGGTGAGTGGTTGGAGGGGCAGAGGAAGAGGGAGAGAAAGAATCTTCGGCAGACTCCACACTGAGTGCCGAGCCCGATGTAGGGCTCAATCCCACAACCCCAAGATCATGACCTGAGCTGCAATCAAGAGTTGGACACTCAATGGACTGAACCACCCAGGAACCCCAACAGTTATACATTTTGTTTGATGAATTTACCCAGGAGAGAATAAAGGTTAGCTAATTATGCATGTTTTTGATATTATTTCCATCTCCTTTTATACTCCTCCATCTTGAGGATGTTTCTTAAAAATAACCTAAAACAACCTTTAAAAAAAGTTTTGTGTGTTTGGGGAAATACATACAGAGATTTTTAACGTGTGATGGTGATCAACTAGTTACATTTGATTTACCTCCTAACCTTCCCATTGAGATATTTATGAAAGTGCATGCCATTGCTGAGGCAAAATGTCGTGGAAACATAAAAATGATTTTCTGATTTGGCAACATCTGGGGGAATTGCCTCTATTGTGTGGATGATCACAAACTGAGGGTTGCTGGGGGAGAGGTGGGTGGGGGAATGGGGTCACTGAGTGATGGACATTAAAGAGGGCAAGTGATGTAATGAGCACTGGGTGTTATATGCAACTGATGAATCACTGAACTCTACCTCTGAAATTAATAATAAATACACTATATGTTAACTAATTGAATTTAAATAAAATTAAACTAAAAAATAAAATAAAATGGAATAAAATAAACAGAGCAATGCTCTCTTCAAAAAAAAAAAAAAAGAACCTTGATCTGTGTATCACCACCAAGGAAGTAGTAGGAAAAAGCAACTGCCCATGTGCTGTGTTCTATCTCAAATAACTGTCACAGTCAGGAGACTCCTTCTGTCCTGGATCACAGTTGCTTTCTAATGTGGCTGAAGCTATTCCTTTGTCTCTAGTCAGGACCTTGGGAAAATCTACAAGATATATATATATGTGTGTGTATATATATATATGTATATATATATATATACACCATCTGTCTGGGCTTTTCTGTGCCTCACTTTTGATTGAATACCATGATGCCAAGCAGCAACAGTGAGTGTGAAATGGAAACTCTTCAGAGACAGATTTATAAGGCATTCCACATTTCCTGGACTCTTCAGACAGGATTTTGCAAAGGGATCACTGAAGTTCTGTCTAAACTGGTGTGTCAGAATGGTATAAGTTCCTCCCCTACTCTGGGATGGCAGGGCGCTTTGCTTAGAGAGGGAGCGTCAAGAGGATCAGTCATGAAGAGAATTGTGCCACATGCCTATTTGAGAAAGCTAAAGAGATAGTGGATATCAGAGATATCAGAGGTGTTAATATGATCTGATGATTTGTAATATACATGTATATACACAAAGTTGGACAGATATAGAAATAAATCATAATGGTTGCATATAAGAATCATTGATGGATGCTAAAATTAATGGGTGAAAGTGTAATGAAGAGCCGGATATTTGCATAGTTTGCGTCTCTCTCCAGAAGATGGTTAAAACGCATATCCTTGGTACTCCTGGGTGGCTCCTTTGGTTAATTGTCTGCCTTCGTCTCAGGTCATGATCCCAGGGTCCTGGGATTGAATCCTGCATGGGGCTCCCTGCTCAGTGGGGAGCCTACTGCTTCCCCTGCTTGTGCATTCTCTTTCTCCCTCTCTGTCTCTGACAAATAAATAAAATCTTTAAAAAATGATTAGAAAACATCAGACAAACCCAAATTTAGGGAAATTCAGAGAAACAATTGGTGGTACTCTCTCCAAAAGTTTCAAATCATGAAAGAAAAAGGCAGACCGAGGAACTTTCACAGACTAGGGAAGATTAGGAGATATGATAGCTAAATGTTGGTTTCTGCAGTGAATTCTAGAGTAGAACATTAGTGGGACTCTTGGTAAACTTCTGCTGAAGATCTGTGATAAGTTAATAGTATTATATCAATGTTAAGATTCTGGTTTCTATAATTAAACTATTTAAATGTTCATATTAACTTTAGGGGATGCTGAATGAGGTGTACACAGGAACTCTCTGTTTTTGCAATTCTTTTGAAGACAGAAATTATTTCAATATAGAATACTTTAAGAGAGTAAAAAGTCAGTTACAGAGTAGGAGAAGATATTTTACAATGCATATGTCTGGCTATTAACTTTATCATAATATATAAAAAGTATCTACATATCAATGAGAAAAAGAAGGCTCAAAATAGAAAGTCGTTGAATAAATCCTTCATAAAAGAGATATTCAAATGGTCAATAAGCAAATGAAACAGTGAAATATCACTACAGGCCTATAAGAATAGATAAAATAAAAAAATAAATTGACAGTGCTAAAAGTTAGGATTTGGAGTAACTGAAACTTCCATCCATTGCTTACAAAAACTCTTTGGCAGAATTTGCCAACACTCTGTATATGTAAAACTTATGGCTAAGCATATGTACCCCAAAACATA